ACCCATATTTACAATAACAAAACTGTGCAAATTGACTCATAAGATGTGTTGCCATACTGTATAAAACAATACAATAGAAAAATTCTACGTAGTGAGGGTTATGATCCCTAAGTGCGGCCAAAGGCCGCCTACGCAGAAAGTTGTTCTCTGCAAAAGGTGTTCAGCCCCTCTTCTTTGGCAACACATATAGGAGAATTCTACGTAGTGTGGGTTATAACCCCTAAGTGCGGCCGAAGGCCGCCTACGCATAAAGGTGTTCTCTGCGAAAGGTTTGCAGCCCCCCTTCTTTGGCAACACAGAAAGGATAATTCTACGTAGTGGGGGTTATAATTCCTAAGTGCGGCCGAAGAACGCCTACGCAGAAAGTTGTTCTTTGCAAAAGGTGTGCAGCCCCCGTTCTTTGGCAACACAGAAAGGAGAATTCTACTTAGTGAAGGTTATAATCCCCTAGTGCGGCCGAAAGCCGCCTACGCAGAAAGGAGTTTTCTGCAAAAGGTGTTCAGCCCTTTTCTTCGGCTACACAGAAAGGGGAATTCTACCAAGTTTGATGTTATTTTGCTATCTTATTCATCGTTTATACGAAAACTTAAACAACAAATTATAAAAAAACTATAGGGTTGCTAGAAAGGAGGGGGGTATTTTTGATATCAGGGAGTCCTATTCTACCCCCCTCATCCTCACCTTTTCTAGAATTTGCCGTCCGCATACTAAAATTTCCCCATACTGGCAGTAATACGCGCCGTTTGAAACCCCTTTCGATTATTTTGCACCAATTTTCGGTGAGGACCATGAAGTGCACAATTGCCCTCTTGATGAAGACTCCCCTACAAGAATTGTGTGATGGAAACTACGCATTAGTTACGTTCCTTATCTCCCAGAAATAGTTAGGAAAAGTCCGAAGTAGTAAGATTTTGTCCAAAAAGTGTTACTTAACCCTTTCGACCCGGATGGTACATATATGTACCACCAAAGTTTAAACATCCCTAAAACTTGTAATTTACATTTAATCACATTTGGAAATGTACCACGCCGTCCGTCTGGAATTTCACCATCTGCCTGGACTCTACACATTCAGTTTTGCATCTCCTGTTATGCCCAGTTTCGTTTTATTTCTGGGGAGAGGCCCTCCCGTTAACGTTTTTGTACAGATTTCCTTGCGTTTGTGAAGATTTCTTAGTTTATTTAAATATATTATAGGAAAATAAAGCTGTGTCTAATTTTTGCGTGTAAATACGGTGATAAAATGTTATTATAAACCTCTGTTTTCACAAATTCAAATATATGGTACATATATGCACCAGCAGTCTCCTTTGGTGGTACATATGCGTACCAGTAGTCCGGTGAACATAACTTAATTTTTTATCGATTTCATGCAAGATCAAGCCAACGATATGCCTCTAAATCCGGTAAGATGGTGTGATGCTGCAACAGGGTACACATATGGTTTTAACATTTATTCTGGAAAAGACCTCGAAGAAGCCGCAGGAATACTTGGCGAAAGAGAAGTAAGCAAACTGGTCAGCTAAATCGTAGAAAATGATATTATTTTATGTTTCGATCGCTTTTTCACATCTGTTAATTTATTGAACTATATTCCTTATTCAGCTGTTGGTACTACATATAATGGGTAACAGATAAAAACGTACCTAAGTTTACGAGTAAGAAAATGCAACAAGGAGAAATAGAATTCAAAAGCACATCTGCAGGCCTTTTATACGTAAAGCGGCAAGACATGAAAGGGGTTTTATAATAAGAAATTGCAACGAACCAGGCACAATAATTATGAAAAAACTTTGAAAACAGGAGAAAAATGCAAGTGCCATGTCCAAACTAAATACTATTTTATCGTCAAATTATGGGAGGTGTTGATTTAGTAAATCAAATGAGTGGCCTGCACGAATATGCATCGAAAATCAGAAAAATAGTGGAACAAGGTCTTTTACCGTTTTATAGTGATGACAGCCGTAAGCGCGTGGGTTATTTACAATAAGCTAAGGAGGAATAAAATGCCTTTCAAATCATTTTTCGTGACCTTGGCCGAAACTCTGATAGAACAAAGTTCTAAAACTACAGCCTTACGCAGGTCAGTAGCACCAGACATAGCACGTCGTGTCGTGAGTCAGATACATATTTCTATTCAAAGCACCACACAACAACGTTGCATAAAAGCAAACTCGAACAAAGATAATCTGCCAAGAGTACAAAGTTCCTTTTCGCAAATTCTGTTTTGCACCATTTCAATATATTTTAGGAATTCCTTACCAATTTATTGTTAATTCTTTGACTGTTTATTATTACTAAATTTGTGCATTATTCAAATGCAAAATTAATGAATCGTTTTGTTTGGTTCTAAAAAAGATAAAACATTTGTAAGAATGTCCTAGATAACGGTTGGTACAGATATGTACCACTTAACATCCCGGATGGGACAATGGTTTACCACCACCCTCCGAATCAGCCCCTTAGGCCACGCCCACTTTGACACCGAAGAACATGTATTTGTGGGGCAAATAACATATTGGACCCATAAATTGAAAGCTACCATTGATAGTAGAGTTAAGGGTCGAAAGGTTAACGCGAAAATGACAGCAAAAATGAGAGAGCAACACTCAGTTAGAGAGACTCTCTTCAGTCCGAAGTAGTCAGCACAGTATATACAGTAATAAACCTTTTCGCAGTTTTTCACCAATTGGTCCCCGAGGAGTACTTTTGGGTTGTGTGCAGCGTTTTCGTTTTGCGCGCATGGCAACACTCACTGTGGGGAATTTCGCCTGATGATTAGAAAAAGGTATTCTCGGTGATATAATTTATATAATTGTGTTATTTATGAACAAAATGTAAATTAAGTATAGTATCAATGCTTATTTCGGAATAATATCAACATTTAACTACGTAATTAACGCTTGTGTTTCTATAAACTGGCAACTCAATCGTATTTTTTATTAAAAAACGTGAATTTTGTATATTTATCAAAGAAAACTCCAAATTTCCGAATATATTTAAATCTTTATTCCAAAAACAAACAAGGTTTGTTTAGTTATAGAGACTCCAATGCCTGCCAGCGCATTCGCCCAGACAGCTCATTAAGCACACCCAAGTTTGAGCGGAAATCCTCAAAACTACTTAACATCAAAGTATAGAATATCACAAATATGAATCATATACACATCCAATAGCAATTGCTATGAATTGCTCCCGTATAAATTCAAGACACGCATTTGGTTGGCGAGTGCGTTGGTTATGGCGGTCATAAGTTCAGCCAACACATTCAATGGTCCATTACCCGGAGCTGTTCCAATATGATGAGTAGATTTTAGTGAACCTCACAAGCCACTGCATCTGGCTACAAGTTGGATATCTGAATATTGGAAAATAAATAGCAATTATCTTTTTAAAATGATAAGAAAAGTGTTCATACCACAGTAATTTTGTATGCAACTCTGAATCAGCAAAATTCATGCTCCTTCTCATTATCAACCCTGATCAGATTTTACCCCCGAGGAGTACTCAAAAAGGTTTATTACTGTATATACTGTGGTAGTCAGAAGCTCAGTATATCCAGTAAACAAACTTAGCTGTTTTTTTTCCACCAAATTTGGTCCCCATAAAGGACTAGTGTTGCAAGCAACGCTTTTTCGGCAATTAGGGTGTTGTGCAGCTATTTAATGTGGTGAAAATTATTTAAGCACTGGAGAGATTTATTCACATGGAATTGGAGATAGGGCTGTGAATCTGCGAACATATCTATTCAGCAGATGAATATACTTTTTAACTTTTTTCCCGAAAATTTACATACAGGCTCGAAATAATGCGAGTAACATTCAAATATCGCGCTTGGATGGAAAATTGCCGGAAGCGTCATTTTGACAATTTGTAGTTATAGATGCAGTTATATTTTAAAGTAAGATATTTCGATTTTTTGTTAACTGGTTTTTGGATATCTTCTTTAGTTTCCGAGTAATTGACTAAAATGCTTTGGGCTATTTGGGACAAATTGCGTTAGTATTGCTGTCGTACTAAACTAATCAAGATATTTCAAATAGAGTTATCTGTTCTTCTTTAGTTTCCGACATATTCCGCCTTATCATGAGTTTCATTTTCTAGAACCGGGTCACTTTTTTACTTTTCGTTTGCGTTTATTCACTACAGGTGGATGAAAAAATTGTTGGCGAAATTTTGTTCGGGCGAAACTCCCGATTAGGTTGATTAGTAAGACTGTTTTTACACAGTTCAAGTATTCAATTCAATTCTGCTCGCATATGGAAGAGAGGGGTGAGAAGAAAAGGGACGAGTACACATGCGTCTGTACCGTCAAGTCGTTTCAACTTTCTTGCTTTGCTTTTGGCATTTTCGTTGCTTCCCATTTAAAGCACCAAACACTTGAATTCAACAGAATTGAAACGTGTAAAAGGAAATAGAAAAGACAAAAGAGAATGAGCATGAATTGCTTTCAAGTACTTGAATCATGTAAATCGGGTGTAAAAAGTATCGGTAATTTATAAAAAATTGTTATCACATTTTGGCGTATATAATTAAAACTGTTTGCAAATTTTTTGACAAATGTCGTATACGAAAAAATTTTATTAAACTCATAAATGGTTGACACTAAACTAAAAAAATAAGATAATTTAAGAATCTCGTGAACTAGCACATAGCATTCTCCGACACTTTGGAGAAAATCTGTTATCGTGCTTCTGAGAAACTGCATTCCAAACTTCAATCGTGAGTGACCGAAAGTAACTTGTAACAATCTTTTATCCAGGCGACAATATAACATTTAGTTAAAATATGCATCTAACTAAATTATAACTGTCATTATTTTCGTAGTTCGAGTATATGCCAGACGAGTAACAGGTATATCACACAAGTATACCTAAATTAGCGCGTTAAGCTTGTATTTTATCTCTCTCTAACGCATTAGTTCTATATACGTCAGGACCAACGCCCGACAAAGTTATGTCTGTATTTAATAATGGCTCTATGACAAAATATTCAAGAAATGTATTCGTAAATTTTTATTTATTTTATTTTTGAATGGCCACTGGAAGTTGGAGGCATTCTTGAAGTGGGATCCAACAGTGAATATTTCGTGCGCCAAATAATCAACGCTTTGAATATCATGCTCTTTACGCAATTTGCGTTCGATCACAAAGTTGTCAGAGATTAGGACACGTTGATGGTTGTACTTGACAATTGCACGTTTGCAGATCAATTCACGAACTGATTTAAGATTAGGATAACCCAATGTGATATAGGGTTCGGCAATGCGTAGCGTATTAATGGTTCAATTTGATGAACAAACCGTGTTTAATGTGGCGAAAACGGAACAGTAAAACTTTACGCACTTTTGGTGCAACTTTGTTGATACCGCGGATGCAGACCACAAAAGCCGCGTTTCTTTGCCAGGCGGCGAAACTTATTCTCAAGGCGTCCATCACGGATATTTTGCTTGATATTTCTCAGCATGCACCAAGTTTTCATGTTTGCCGAGTGCAATCACAGCAGAGCGCTTTAGTTTACGCTTGATCAAGGTAGCACGTTTGCTGACCTGCTTCTTGCTGAACTACAGCTACGACTCGGGGACAGCAGGCAGCTTCCTGTAAGGTTGTTTGCCCTTTGCTTCGGGTTTCTTACCGGCCGTGGTGGTAGTCATCTTAACTCGTAACTTAGCACGTTGAGAAGGCGAAAAAAGTCCGCCAAATGCTTGGAGCACATCTTAAATAACGCCACTCGATTTATGACATTTCCATTAAACGCAATTTCATTTAATTAAATACTATTTTAATACATAGATATGCTGCAACCAGGCACTTACTTGCACAAATTCCATCCTGCTTATCGGCATAATTTTCCAAATATGCCTGCTACTTCATTACTAATAACTCCATTTTCAAACTGCGCCTTCTTCGTTGCCTCAACATATCCTAAAAGACATAAATTTACATTAAACAATAGAAATCGCAAAAATTAGCAAATAAAATACACACTGTGTTTTGTTTTGTTGTCAAATTGCTGAGAAATGTGAATTCACCACGATGCGATACAGAGAGAACAAGGACCAGGGATGTAATTTTAAGTAACTCTATTATTGGTAGCTGTTTAGCTCATCTGCTACGAAACTGCTGGCAACTGTTGAACCCAACAATTACTTCTTAGAAACGGCTTGATGAATATGCTGCCAAATGAACAGCTGATAACTGTAAACAAATGAAATTGCAACAAATAGAGATAGTTGCGCCGATACTATTTAGAATTCAACGCTGAGCGGCCGCCGTGTTGAAAAAATCGTTCAATGTTACAATGAATTAAACACTGTTAAATTATATAGCAAACATCTTAAAAACATATATTTAGAAACGTAGTATTATTATTAAATATTTTAGTTACTTTATCACGTCAGTAATATAAAATATAATAAAGCGGCGTTAAATTTAATATAAGCGGCGTAAGTCTTTTCGATCAGCTGTTTAGGCTAAGCCCAACATGTTGAGTTCAGGTAGCGTAAAAATTTTCCGCTGGAAAAAATGGCGGAAAGTTGCCAACTGTTGGGCTGAGCGTAACTACTCAACTGTGCGTTTCTAAGACAAACAGCTACGACTTAAGAACGCGCCCATTCAGAGGCAATGCGTAGAGCGTTCGGGGCAGCAATATTAATTTGTATCAAATATAACATTAAACGGTGGTTCTAATACATTTTTTGATATTATTAACCAGACTACATATATTATATGGTATTTCTTTCAAAAATTAACGTACTATATGAACTTTTTTTTCAAATATTTCTTAAGTTTCTTTCATGAGTGATGAAAAGCAACCATGCGTGTAAGAAATTGTGTGCTACCTAAAACTTCACCTCTGGAAACTTTATCCCCATAAAGGACTTCACCACAGTTTTTTTACTGGATATACTGAGGTCAGAAGAATTTTTGCTGGCAAAATCTTGAAAAGTGTCAAACTCAACTGAATTTAAATTAACGGAAATTAAGGAATACACAAAAAGTGAGAATAATCTAAAAAGTAAAAAAAGTGAATTGAAATTGGAAGGTAGCAACAAATATTGATATAGTAAGTGTTTATTGTGCTTGTGCTTGGGCTTGTGTGAATGTGTTTTGCACATACATTTCTATTCTTATTTGATGTTAGTTTTGTTGTTGCCATTTGTTTTTTGCGTTCCCTTACTTTTTCCTTTTATTATCTTTTAGTGAGCGCATTTTGATTATGCTCTGGCATTTTGACACTTTTCAGATTTTAGTCCAAAAAAGATAAGGAATGAACCTATTCTCATTTATCTTACTAACCCATTTGCAAATTTTGCGTTGGTTAAAAAGAGACCAATACTTAAGGCCATAAGTTGGAGGCAGACGGAAAATCACATGTACACAAATGTTTAAATCACGCTTTTCACATTAGTGGTATTCATCTAAACCGATAACTTTATCAAGCAGATAATCTTATAAGTTTATGCACTCTGAACGACCCACACTCTCTTTTCGTTTACACATGCGACAATAGTCGTGTTTTCTTTGGTTATAGAGCTCAGTGTCACTAACTTTATACTACCAGCATGAGGATAAATAAATTATAGAAACTAACCCACTAAATGGGGAAAAAATATATTTACGAGATAATATCTATTTAAATAAATATACATATAACATAAGGGCTATTTATTTGAAGCAAGTTAAAAGAAACAATGGCAGAATGTCTGTTTGTGTATGAATTCATTTGTCACGGCAACCAAACTTTGCGGCCAAATTATCAGTGAAACAAAACAAACAGAACGGATAATAATTGAACCTGATCTCTATCAGGATCATATCGTTGTTGTTGAATTAGCGTGCAAAATTTTTATGCGGATCCCGCCTATTGCCCAGGAAAACATAGCTAGAGTTGCGACTGAGTTGCATTGGCTTCAGTTTATCAAGTTTATTCAGTGAAATATCTGGAGAAATTTATCAGAAATGTGTAAACGAGTTTCCATACAAAATTTGACAGTTCATTTATAAGGTTTACACAATTATAAGTTTATACGGTTTACATTGCGTTTATAAGGTTTGATGAATACCCTTATTGCTCTCAAAAAATTGATAGAAGTACTTGGTTGAGATCTCCATCACCAGTGAGTATCACCACGGTGCAGCGAACAAAGGTGGCGCCGTCAGTGGTACCGCTACTTTGGTTTTGCAGATTTTGACACTTGTGGTAACTTGTAAATAAACCTTTGTTTACTAATCAGCGAAAGAGAAATTTGAATTATAAGTGAAAAATCAGTTTAAATTGTGTTAATTTGCAATTTGTGAGTGATTTTTGAGTTGAAGACTGCGTAAAAACTAATACAATGAAGTGATGTGTGTTAAATTGCGACAGCCGTCGAGATGCAAGAAGCGTAGATGCCAGTGTAGCGCTGGAACGAATCGCTGCATTTTGTGTACATAGGGCACGGCAAAGCCGTTCTCGAAATGTTTCTTTATTATTACAATCACAGCATTTCCTCACAATGATTTTGCTTCTGCTCCAAGCAGCCTCCATTAGCAAGTTAACCAATCAATCCCGCTGAGATGCTGCCGCAGTTTTCTGCAGCAGCCTTAATTGCAAAGCAATGGAGTGCACTAAAACGTTTGCGGAAGCAGCCTCAATTGCAAAGCAATGGAGTGCACTAAAATATTCACTGTTCTCTAATAGATTAGGTGAAAAATGCAATATTTTCGCATTTAACAAAATTAAAGCACGTTTTTCGCTGTAAAGTGAACTGCTTTGGCAGTTTCAACTCGTTCTTCTTTTCGCTCTATTCTTTGTTTACCTGTGGTACACAAATGTCAACGCCCAGGACGGCGCAATCTTGTATTCTATCATTCTTGGAGTATCACATGATAAATCAAAGGGTACTGTCACACGGTCAGTGCTTATTGACGTTATCCAAGTATCGCGATATTTATTGACGGTGTAGCATGCAGTATTGATGGATCGTGATCGATATCGCAAAATTTCTAAAAATTTTGGAATCAGGATCGCGGATCGCAATACCGTCAATAAATATTGAACGTGTAGCACTTTCAAAACGCGATCCATACATTTCGTCAGTACATCTTTTATTCCCATAATGCGAACATCGAAAACGTATTCGCTCTGCCTTCGCTCTCGGTGCTTAAACTCTGTCAAAACAAGTTGAAAAAATTTTAATTAACATTTTAAATTTTAAAAGAACTGTGGAATGGCTTGTCCAAATTGTACAAAATAGTATTATTACGAACGTGTTCTATTAGTTTTTGTACATCAAACGTTTTATTCTTTGAATTTATTGCTATGACACGCCTTGCTTGCTTTAATTTGCTTTGATTTACTTCTAAAACTCTTTTGGCCAAATAGCGGCTTGGAACGCTGTCAAAGCAACCAGCTGTGTAGTTGAAAAGTCAAGATCTGTTCCCTTACACTAAGAATAATTTTCCCACAAAAATTCCAGAAAATTAAAAAAAAGAAATACAAAACAATATTTCCAGACTTATTTTTAAATGAATGCAAATTAATTTTTACATTTCAAAGGAATGATAATAATTATAAATACATATATAACTATATTTCATTTATTAAAGACAACAAACTCAAAAAAAAATTCAAATTTTAAAGAGGCGACTGACCAGCAGTTTGACATCATAAATATCGCAGCTTTGTGTGAAAAGTTGCTAAGTGTACATTTTATGAAACCTCATATTTTGATATAGGAAGCAAGAGAAATTAAGGATTAATGTACTTGTTTCATTTTTTCTCGTTCATATTCAATGAGGGACAAATTTCCAAAGAGGTCCCGATTATCCGATAAGGCCAAAATAATACGAAATCTTTTAAAAAAGATCCTACTGATGCGTATGGAGTTTTGCTTTGCTTTAATAAATGTTGTATCCAAATTTCCTGTAAAATTTGTAAAAATAGACTAAGCAACTTTTTACTTTAAGCCAGCGACATGTTAAATATAGATATGGATACATAGAATCATTTTTATTATACTTTGAATTACATATATTATACATACCAATTTTTTTAATTACGTAAGCAAATTTTTGTTCATAAAAGTGCGCAGCAGTTTGTTGGAATTTGTTTAGAACGGGAACATACCTTTTTGTCAAAAGCCTACAAAACGCTTTCAAATAAAACATTTGCTTATTTGAAACTTTGAAGTGCTTAAAGCAAGTGAACAAAGATGCCATTTGGTCACCCTTCATACGTTTTAGTATATCCCAAATAACTTTTGACAGTTCTCAAAACGAAGCAAGCAAAGCAAGCAGTAACTTTACTCTTCTTTGACGGCTTCAAAACGCTGCAAGCCGCGTTTCGAACGCGTCAAAAGAGAGGAACATCGAATGTTCGAAAAATTCGCAGCGACAGAATCATGCAAGTGTGCGCTAGCTCATTAAAATATATGGGTGGCATTGTTGTAATTTATAGCTTTGCGGATTCGCAACGTGTGAATCGCGCTAATGTGCGCTTTATACAAATACTGTTGCGATAAATATTGGACATGTAGCATTCGTGCGCGATCCATCAATCCATCAATATGGATCGCGATCCAAATATCGGGATAATTACTGACCGTGTGACAGGGCCCAAATGACTATCACTGTTCTTGCATGACGCAATAATAAAAGGGGTTATCAGTTGGCAACTTCTCGCTCTAATTCCGCCATATTGACTGCCTTACGTGAAACAGTGTTACTTCTTTAACTATTCTTTGCCCATTATTATAGTTGAATGTTTTTTTATTTTTGCTCAGTATACATACGTTTTTTATTAAAGGGGTATTTTATCTTATTTTATTTCATTTCATAACGAATATACTATAAAAAAGCAAATTTTGTTTAGGAGAAAATGTGAAATTTTATATTTTCCCCCCATATGGGGATTCATTTCTTCCCGTTTTTCTTCTCATTCTGCTGAGCTAAGGCAGTGTCAAATCGGGCTGTCACAACTGATACCACCTTGTATTATTGCTTCATGATGTTCTTGTAGGGTCTAATATCGCATTAATCGATAA